CTGTCAATTTGAAATGGATTTTTAACAATGAGCGCTTCTCACATGGTTTTCTGTGATATTCACTCACTCACTCATTCATATTTACTCTGGTGAAGGCAGTCAACACCAGCTCCACGACAGGAAAACTCTACAGCTGCTCAGACTTTAAGACGTAAACACTGATGCCTGAGTATGAATGATCTTTAATAGTATCAGTGTCATTTCTCTGCAGAAGAATGACACTCAATAATGTTTAATATTTGAAGTACATTTTAGTAACAAAACCTCTTCCCTCAGGTGTATTGTAATATTCTTTTTACATTAAATGAGTCTTTGAATGTCCATTTCCTGACATCCTCTCACTCACCTGTCCAAAGTTGACGGCGGCATGCTGGGCTGAAGCAGTGAACACGATGACCGTCAGGTACTCGATCAGCTCCTCACGTGATTTCACAGACTTGGGAAATTCTGCACACACATTGTAGATGCACAGAATTGACAAAGTGAGCCTAAAACCTTACAAAACCCTCTTTTTTTTTTCTTTTTTTTTCTTTTGCAAGGCTTGCTGTGTGAGAAGATCCTTGCACAAAGCCTTCAGATAGGAAATGATGGTGAAATGCAAGATGGGTATTACAACACTGGCGTTCAGGCAGTGACACCATCACACTCCTGCAAATTCCTTTCTTCACCCAAAACCATTCATCTATAACAGAGCAGATTTGAATTTATAATGCCGTCTGTTCCCCGCCGTACCTGTCTTCTACAGAAAATCCCAAACTAATGAAATATTGAGGGGGGGAGCGAACTTTTTCTCTCCTTGAAAAAAAACGAAAATGCGAGGATTGGCTGGGTGTTACATGTTGTTTGTTTGTTGTTGCAGTGCTGCAAGATGATGATACAGTTGGAGGCCTGTAATGTGAACCCACCGCAATGATCAAAGTCCTGCATGCCGAAGCTGCACACGTCCTTAACGAAGGCCTGAATTTCTTCGTCTCCCTGGACCTTCTCATCGCTGGTGTAGTAAACGCACACCACGTCAGACACGAAGCTGCCAGAGAGGAAAAAGGACAGCTGTCACGTACAGAGGAAATAAAAAATGCTGTAACTTCTCTCTCTTTTGACACTCTGTCAGTCTCAAAAAAAAAACACACACACACACACACACACACAGGGGTAGGACTGTTCACATCTCACTGTTTATCCTTTGTTCTGACTCTTTTCTCTCCCACAAAAACACCAACTGCTCCTCGATGCTGTCTATAAAAACTCGAGGAAGCAGTGCCGCTCACCTCTTTGTAGCCTCCCACACCTTATAGCCGTCATCCCTGTAGAAGTAGGTTGGCAGGTCCTCTTTGCTGTCCACGCCGCGTGACTTGATCATATCCGGGAAGCACAGAGACCGGAAGGTCAGAGACTTCATGGCCTTCTGAACCAGCTGGACATGACCACCTCCACCTGTTGCATTTGCCTTGATATAAATAGAAAACATACAGCACGACCACATGTCACTTATTGTCCATTACTGAATGCGCAGTGGACCATTATTCAAAAATAAAAGCATCAATCGACTGTTATTTAGGGAGAAGAAAGGCAGATTTTATAGTGGAATGCGTCATGATTATCACCTTAATCCTGTTTCCTCTCTGTTCTGTTCTCCCCGTTTTCACTCTTGCATTAAACTTTAACACCATCAGCCCGTTCTTCACTCTCTTCCCTTCTTTCTACGCTGCACCTCTCTAAACCCACAGACTCACCTTGTCGAAGATGCCGCACTCACAGATGAGCTGCTCTCTGGCCTTAGTGTTGATCGCGATGGTGAAGCGAACGTGTGGGATGAGAAGCTGCAAAAAGCAATGACGCTCAATCAATCAATCAATCAATCAATACACCAGTTATTAAGCTAATTAGCCAGAGGTGTACCTTATAAGCAGGGTGAACAGCAGGGAGCTGCCTGTACATGGCGATAGCAAACATCTCTGTGATCAGATGCGTCCTGAGCAGGTGTGTGATGGTCTGGTGGTGCTGGAAGTCGGCCGAGCGGACCCAGATCTTTGCCAGCAGCCAGTCATACTGACCGTCAGTGGGCAGGAAGATCGGAAGACCTGGAGTCTGGCCAAGCTGTTTAAGTCAAAGGGGAAGCAGGGAAAGTAGACTAAGCACAGTTCAGTTTAAAGGAAATGTTTCCCTCATGAAATAAAGGTGCAACACACATCTCAGCATCACCTGTATGGCTATGGGCAGGATCTTGTTGTGAGTGTTCTTGTACAGCAGACAGATTGGAGCTGCCAGGTACTGCAGCGTGCAGGGGTCTGTGCAGTTCGCAGTGATGCCTTCTATCATCTTGTAGTCTACTATGTAGACGTTACCTGCCTGGAGCCACAACACTGGTTTACATTGTACATCAGGACGCTGTACCCTGTCAAGTTTCTCTCTTGGAAATAGAGAGTGAACAGAATAGATTCACTGAAACAGACATGTCTACCTCGATTTCCTGCTCCAGGGTCAGCTCCCTCTCCAGACTGACAGCAACCATCTCATGAGTGACAGGAAACGTGTCAGGAAGTTTGGTGCACTTTTGGATCACTACAGGGTTGCAACCATTCAGAAACTGGTATCCAAACATGAAGTCCTCTTTCCAGTGTTGCATCACATACTCTGTATGATACAATGCAACATAATACAACGCAATACAACACAACCAGTACATAACAGCATGATGTAAGATAATGTGACGTGTGTGTAGCTGACCTGAGATTGTGTTTTTGATTTTCACAAAGATTTTCTCAAAGTCAGCGAAGTCACTCCAGGAGGACTGGAACATGTGCATGAACTGGTTCACAAACAGGTTCTCTATTCTGGGAAATCATCATCATCGTCGTCATCATCATCATCATCATCATCATCATCATCATCATCATCATCCCTCTTAAAATCATCATCATCAGGGTCATGTTTGTCACCATATTTACGTCAAAACAATCCTACAACTGATGCAAGTAATATGTCACTCAAATATTTCAGTTACAATGAATTCTGTAGAAGGGAGTTGTGTTTTATACTATATTTATGCTATGTGTATGGCTGATCATTTTGTCAGCTCTGCATGCTCATTTACTGGCGTTGTTTTGTCCATAAACAACTTTGAAGCAAACTGCATGACTCATTTTTCTTTATATATTTTTCAGAGCTACTGCACGATGCAAACAGTTGTGTTTTGGATCTGTTTTGTGTTATTGTGTCTTTGTGTGAGCTCACACGCCAGCATCAAAGCGCAATGCAAATGTCCCTGGTGATAAACACACAAAGACTCCTCTGTTTTTTCCTGTTAACCCTGAGTACATAACATAGCATGCTCTCAGGCGTCAGCTCAACACCTGATCGTGGCATCATGAAAGCTTTGCATTGAAACCCCCCCGCCCCTCCGAGGTTAAACCTCCACAGACTCCTACTGTTCTGCACTGAAGAGCATCAGCTGTTGTCGTAACCACTGCAAACCTGTCCACCTATTTACTGCAGATGGCTGATAGTGGGAGCACGTACGCCTTACTGTAGTTCAGCACAAAGTCCACTCCCTTCTCACTGTCAAACTGGATGTCTCGGGGCAAATCCTTGTGTCTGTTCGCATCTATGCTCATAGGAAAGCCCGGCTGCCACTCCTTCCACCTAAAAAGGGCAGCAGAGTTGTTCAGCCTCCTATAGCATCCAAGAACAAAAGTTACATGTAGAGTGAACTTGCCTGTAAGTTTTTCTCCTCGTGTCCAGCTCCTTTTGTCTGTGCTGCTTGACCAGGCCGGTCTTATCATCCTCAGGGAGGTGAGCTACAACAATAAGACAAAGTGAGACATGGAGCAGAGTTGGTTTGTTTAACTTTTTGTTTTGGCACTGCAAGCTCTGACTGATAAAAACAAAACAAAAAAAAAAAAAAACACAAGGCAGGTATTTTTTTAGGCCAACAAATGAATGAACTGATGGCTACCTCGTCCATCCCGCAGCACCACTTCCTTGTCGTCCACCAGCCAGCGGAAACAGGGAAACTCTATGTAGTCTCCAGAGGGGGTTTTGACTGTGATGTACTTGCAGTACCAGTCATCCTGCATCCAGTATTTCCTCTTCTGGATCTTCACCAACACGATCTCACCCAGTTCCTCCTCAACCCTCACGTTATACGAGTCCACCTGCAATTTAGTCAGCGGTGTTGGAAATATATGATCAGAATCACTTGAATATCATTAGTTTTGCTTTTTAAAGGGAAATTAAGTGAAACTGATTTGACTATATGTGAAAACATCGATGTCACATGTGGTTTTTTAAGGAAACCATAATAATAAATCACATGCAGCAGCTGACATGCATTCATATGTGCTCACATGCAGTTTTTTGACATTTAACAAGAGGAAAATGACACAATGGAGGCATAGGTGTGTTTGTAAGGAAGTTGATCTAGTCATCCATCCATCCATCATCTATACACCGCTTAATCCTCACTAGGGTGAAGGCAGGAGACACCCTGGACAGGTCGCCAGTCTATCACAGGGCCACACTTAGAGACAGACAACCAAGCACACTCACATTCACACCTATGGACAATTTTGAATCACCAATTAACCTCAACATGTTTTTGGACTATGTGGGAGGAAGAACCTGGAGAACCCGGAGAGAACCCACGCTGCACGGGGAGAACATGCAAACTTTTCGCAGAAAATTCCCAGGTGTTCTTCTAGCTGCAAGGCAACGTTGCTAACCACCGAGCCACCTTGCCTCCCTTGATCTATTCAGTTCTATTTGTTTGTATAGCGTAGTTTACAACATATGTCATCACATATAGCTTAATATAGTCAGGTATAGACCTTACACATTTAACAGAGAATCCAACAATCCAAAGTAGTCTTTGGACTCCTTCTGAGGAAGCGGATCTATAATGTTGATGTTAATGTTGCAACGCAGAGGAAAAAGTGGCTTCAATATTTTGTACTTTGTTGTAAAAAAAAAAATAAAAAAAATTCAGTTAACAAACTGAACTTAAATTTCAGTATTGCATTGAGCAATCTATAAAATCAGAAAACCTGGTGCATAAAATTAATGGTTAAAATGGATACTTTTTTTAAACTAAAGAAAGGATTAAAAAGTGGTTGCTAAATTTCATTATATCATTATATCTCACCTTTTAATAGCAGCTTATAATCCATTTTATGCATTTTGCCATTGCTTTATTAATCACTGTCTCTATTTTATTCATTCATCTTGTCAGTTTCTTGTTGCAAAACACTGTGACATCTGATTTAGAAATGCTTTCCAAACTTAACTGAATATCTCATCATCTTTAGGCAACATTTGCAATTTGAAACAGAAGGTGTGACAGTGCATCTGTCACTACTTAAACTCTGCAGAATAAACTGATGGCAGCAGTTTAATTAGTCAAGAATAAAGTTTGGTGACACTGTAGAAAGAGCTCCACTTTGTGCATTTTTATATTTTATTTGCAGAAATTACTATCTTGTACACTTTACCGTGTACTTCATCATCATTAAGTTGACTGAAGATCCAAAGTGAAAAAGCCTGCTTCTATCTCCATTTAATGTGCTTCATATTAGCAGCAGGAGCTGTGAACTTCACTACACTTTGCTGAAGCAGATTTCACTTTGCAAAAAGTACACAAGCTTTGCATCCTTGAATTCTCTCCGAAATGAAATTATTCACTTCAACAGAATCAATCTCTGTCATCACTTCTTCCTCTTTCATACCAATATGCAGCTTATCTCAATTCACTGTGTTTGCCTGCAGTTCATCAGCAGATAAAAATGAAGGCATTTGTCACACAGTCACCCTCTCATCAGTGTAGCATCACTTACCGCACCCCTCTCAAAGTCATTGTACAGAGGCTTGTCCAGCAGCGTTCTCTCGCTGCATTGCTCCGTGCCCACCAGTGTAATGTAGATATAGTCATCCGTCCCTGCGAACCACTGGTTCCCTGTGGCAATCGTCACTGTGTAAGAAGGCATGGCGGTCAAACACAGGATGAAGAAGACTCCAAAAATGTCCAAACACCCTCTGAAGATGAAGAAATCTGCAAAAATTCAGCTCTACTATCACCGACCAAAAGTTCTTCTCAGATTTTTTTTTTCTAAAGCAAAGGCAAGTTTCTTCTTCTTTCTCAAATCCGTGTTTCTTCCACTAGTGTACACATCTCTTACACAAAGACAATGTGCAATCAGGCAGAAGAGGGAGGTGGCAGGACAAGAGCAAACTCTGTAACGTGACAATCCTCTCCCTCAAACTGTAAATGAGGTCAGAATATAACACAGCTGTCCTTCCTCGACGCCTTATCAGGGGTGATACAGACATGAATGTGGGCGCAGGTGAAGGTGTCTAATTCCAGAAGGTGATATCAAATTAGGTTTTTTTGTCTGCAAACAACAGACAAGCACAATAGATTGAATTCCTGAATTACAGACAAAAAATAAATAGAGTATAACAGTGTTAAGTTGGGCTTTAACTGTGTTTAACTGATGATGTGGAAATGAATTGAATCCAAGAATATGTTACACATCACATTTACAAGTCAAATTAGCGTAGGACGCTGGACAATAACTGGCAGTGTATTCCATTTTCGGTGAAATAAATGCAAATGCATCACAGCCCCTCCGTAGTTTCACAGAAGCATCAGCATTAACATGGATACGTACGTGTGAAACTCTAAGCGGGGAATGGAATCGGCTTGTTTCTGCGTCACAAACTTGACATGAAAAGTCGTTTTTCTGTCTGAAAGGATTCAAACAAGCCTCTGCTCTTTGTCACTTCGTTTAAAAAAAAAAGACATAATATGACACAAGACAATGGGTAAGTTGGCAATCAAAGGCAGAATAAAGAAACGAGGCTGAGTTCTGTTTTAAGAAGATGGCATTTAATGTAATTCAGACACTGCTTAGAAAAAGCATGAAACTGAAGAGGTACAAAGAGAAAAATAAAACCAAAAAAAAAAAGGCATTTTCATTGTTCATTCTCAAAACTATTCATCTTCTTTCAGTCATTTCCAACACAACCTCGTAAGAGAACCGCATAACAGCAATCATGTACATTTACATATAAATATCTGACTAATTCTGTATCAGTTGTAGCGAGCAGCAGGAACAGAGCTGATCTGGACGTACAGACAGAACACGTGGTAGAACCAAACAACCGCAATACGAGGGACAGATCCTGTGCTTGAAACCCAACATGGAAATCAGAAGAGCAGTAAATGAAAGCCACTGTGCACATCGGCACGGAGGACGAATGAGTGGCAGCATGAAAAGAAGATCCAAATACCATATTCTGTTTACCAAATGTAGCTGCCACTCACAAGTGTAAAACCCAAGGACAGGGAAACGGTTCAATATTGCATTCATTCATTGTTAGGAAATCAGAAGTTACACAGAAGTCTTATTTACTTGCACTTTTAACGGTGATATAGGAGAATCATATGTTCGTACGAGTTTAGTCTTTTGTTAAGCAACACCTTTTCTACACCTAACGTTCTCTACAGTGAATAGAGTTTAGGTTGTTCAGTAGTCTATGTACATTTTCAGCATTGTTTCAGTGTTTTACGGCAGTGGTTCCCAACCTGAGGGTCTTAACCCCTCCAACTGGTCAAATGATGAAAGTGAGCAACCACAACATGGTTCAAGTCCTTCCCCGAGCATTGATGTAACCCCTAAAAACTCATCTCTGCATATCAAAGTTACATACTTTCTTCCTTGAAAATAATCAATCCCTGCCTTTAAATGGTTTAAACCTTGATTTTACTCCCTTGTAAACGTGCACATAGTCAGCCAAAGACATCACATGTGTTACTGCTTTCTAGTCTGACACTATTTCTGAACTGTATGCTGATGTCCACAGTGGAATTGGCACTAACTCTTACAGATGGTAAAATTTATGGCACGCTGATTCCACTTGCAGACACTTGTCTTAGATGCAACTTGCTTCTTTAAGAATGTGTAGATTCATAGCATTCCTGTCTCTTTCTGCACCCGTTCCCTCTGCTGCTCAGTGCAGCTCGAGCACACCAGCTTGCCGGTGGCTGAAACACTGTAAAACTACTCTACATGTCACAAGTTAATTCAGCTACACATGTTTGAACCAGAGCCCCATTCTAATAAAGAATAAAAGCATAGGATTGACAGGATTGAATCTTGTCTGTTTGTTTTTTTTTTTATCTGTCATCAGTACAGAAAAGCTCAGCCAGCGCATACCACCCACCATATGGACGCACTAACAAGGTAAAAGCCTTGATTTTCACCAGATGCAGTCATTAAAGAACAACCAAACACCATATTTTAGCTTTAACACAACCCGTTTACAAAATCAAAACATGTCTTTCAACCCTGTGGGACCTAAGTGGATTTAGTGTTGAATTGTTTTTAATGGGATGAAGAATAAGAAAAAATACTGTGTTCTGTGCAAATTTGTGTTTGGGATGACAACTAATTTTTGCTTCTTTTGGAAACATCGCATAGTCTGCCTATTAATGTGAGATAACATCAAGAGAAAAACGGCTTCTTTGGTAGGCATATTCAAACTGTGAAGAGTAGATGTATGCAGACACAGCCTCAGCTGATGGAGGTCACAAGACCAAAAGGTTGGAAACCACTGTTTTAAGACGTCTGTTCTTTGCAATTCATCACCATCATCTTACTATATATGGAAGATAACTGCATCGTCTGTGGACAAATGCCAACAAAACCCATCAGTTACTCTGGTGAAGTAAGACATTAAATGCAGAAGGCGGCATGAGGCTGTAAAACTAGAGGCCATTGGCAAAAGTGATAAATAACATTTTCACTCAGCAATTATTGTTCAGCCTTCCCAAGACAGTGAATGCAAACAGCCATAGAGTAGCTCCAGTGAGTCGTCACATATATTTTCTGAACTGGTTTAGATGATTCCCACTTGCTTTGGTTGAGAAAAATGGGAAAACAAAACCAAAAAGATCCAAATCTGACTTGTAACTGATAAGCTGTGCATTAAATTTGTCTGCTGTGTCCAGCTCTGATGGTAAACAATACAATGTTGTGTCAATGCTGCCACCCAGTGGCAACAAGTCAGTACATCAATAAATAAATGATCATAAAGCTACAGTCATGAAGTGCAAATTACTCCTGAGTCCCTTCTGGCAAACATGTCAGACCAATCTCTATATTGTGTCAAAATCCCGACATCCGAGCAAAGATGTGAATAATTAAATATCACCAAAGCAACAAACGAAACAGTTAGTGCACATTAACCAACATAAAAAGCAAAGGTTTCGCAGCATTAGAAAAAAAAATGCATACAGTAACTGCTATACTCAAGGTGTGGCCTAAAAATTTGAGGTTATTTCAGCATAAAACCACATGCCACACTTGCTACTGCATCTTCTAAAAAAATGTGCAGATAAACGGAGTTATATTGATTTGTGTAGAAAAATGAAAGAAAGGCAAAAATGCACAAATGGCAACTTTTTCTACAGTTACTGCGATGTTCAATTAAAGACACGCTAAGCCCAAAATACACAAAACCTTTTAAATCACCAAATAAGTTTACAGTTCCAGTCATCTTTCAGTAATAACTACATATTAAAGAAAAAAACATGATAAACAACAAAGATATCACTCAATTCCCTTCTTTATCTATAAAAAAAAAATTAAAATGATAGAAATATGATGGTGTTTGATGAGCTGATTTGATCATTTTAAACATCTGAAAGTCACAGGTGATGGAAGTCAGAAGATAGAAGACATATGAGAGACAGATGTGGACTCTGCTGTATGAAAAAAAAAGGGGGCTTCTCCACATTCAGAGGGTTGTTGTGGTGCTGGGACCAGATCATTGACTTGAACCGTCAGACCAACGCAACCAGACTAAAGGTGCTGCTGCCCCACTGTGTCCAGGGAGACACTGATTTGTGGGGAGGGGCTGCTCAGATTCAAGCCACAAGTCGTGTGGCTGAATTGTGGCGAGCAACATAAGCATGAAGTAAAAGGAAACGAAACCGGACAGACGAGTGGCTCACTGTCCGACATCCAATCTCCTTTTCCAGCATTAAAAAAATGACTCTCCTGGTGCCCTCGGTGATCTCAGGGAAAAGGCAAATCCCACACAGAAGAGTTTAAGACGTAGTGAGCGAGCCTCAGATCACTCTGAAGGAAACACTGAGGTCGATGTGCTTAAATGGAAGGTACAAAAACGGCGTCTAGTTCAGGTGGAGGAACTGCTTCATGAACTCGTAGGTGGTGAAGGCCACGGCCTGAGAGGGGACACAGCGGATGTAGTTGAGAGAAAGGCCTCGATACAGTCCCTTCTTGACCCCGTACCGGTGATAGACGTACTTCAGGGTCTTTACCAGTGATCTGTTCGGGTGCAAAACACAAAATTAGACACTTTTTAGAAGCACGGCGTGGAAAAAAAAAAGGGTAAAATGTATGTGTTTATATTTTTTGTGAAGTCAGGTTTCTTTTTGTTTGTTTTTTAAAAGCGCTTACGCGCTTAGAATTTCTATTAATTATGCTGCGCTGACAGTTCAGTAATAAATCTTTCATTTTCTTACAGAACAATTTGCAGTTTATATTGCTGGCAATACAGGAACAGTAAATCAACTTTGTCTGTCGCTGGGGTCGGCCTGGGCCATCAGGAGCTGCACCCAGCTGATGAACAGCAGCCATATTAATACAAAAAACTGTCTCAGGCTCTGATGTATTGACTGGAGCTGGTGAACTTATCTTAAATACCGAGGCAAAAGCAGATAGTGCCAGAACAATGAGCAGTGTTTGGAATGGCATCATGTGAACCTCTACAGGTATGAACGGTATGTTGCTGCAGCTTTATAGCTCAGTTGCTAGTCTGCTCTTTAGACTGTGGGCTTTGACATTTTTATCTAACGTAAACAGCCTTCAAACCTCTGGAATTTATTCTCCAATTTTAAGCATTCAAGTTAATCAAACTCTGCTTACAAACCCAAATGTGGAATCAAGCATTTTAAGAGGGAATGTGCAAACACAACCAAGAGAGTCAGACAGGACCAAAACAATACAGATTTCATTCGTTGGAGTGCAAAGCAACTTTCCTAAGTCTTCTGTTAACATTCATCTCAGTCAGTTAGAGACACATTTATGACTTCTTCAAAACAGAAATGTGTACCAATTAATTCTCTAGCTAGATGAGCTCTGAACCTGTCACTTATGAAATAATGACGGCCATCATGTTGCTCATTGTTACGGCACATTCTTGCCATTATTTCCCCCTTATTTCTCTTCTATTGGGTCAGCTGTAACTAATCAAATCAGACCACTTGAGAACACAATACTTAGGCAACTTTTTGTCTATTTGTTAGAATCGAAAAACATCAGTAAAAATAGAATGGCTTAAACTCTCCTTACCAATATTTAAGAAGTCCACTGACCACACTGACAGCAGGTGTAATGTAGCACACTACATCATGGGGCAACAGAATGAGATGAGCAGGAAAAGTGAAGATACTTACGAACATTTCTCTGAGTCTGGAAGCACAGAGCCTAACTGCATTCTTCTTCTAGCCACATCAAAGGGGTACCTGGTGACAAGACCCACAATTTGACACATCTTCCATCAATAAATCAGTGCAATCAATAACAACACCCAGCAAGGCACCATAAATTAAGCAGCCACGCTACAGAGTTTTGAGTCGGCTCCCTGCCTGCAGCACTTACGATACTGTCTGAGCGATGGCACCGGCGACTCCTCCGCAGAGCAGGTTGATGTGGGTTTTCAGAATGAGGACATCAGGGTTGTCTGAGGAGGGGCGCCCCAGCAGCTCCGGGAAATGCTTCAAGCCAATGCTCTTCAGGGTGCCGAAGGTGAAGAACGAGAGACCTGGAAGGATGTGGGTGGGAGTTAAGAGTCAAGCTAATGCAACACAAAAAACACAATGGACACAATGATCATACATACAAAATAAAGACAAAAATCACCTGCATAAGGGGCCATTCCAATAAGTGTTGGGGTGAGTCCTCTGTAGAAGCCTAAGACACCCCCCTCCTTAATAAAAAAAAGAAAAACAGACAAAAGCAAGCAGGATTAAAGTCATGCTGCGCAGCTGTGAATTTGTAAAAAAAATAAAATAAAAAAAAAAATGCTTGTGAAGACCATGTTTACTGTTCGAGAAGTAGATCACTAGCAAATCACCTTAAGGTAGATGGTGTGGAAGGCATTGGCAATTCCAGTGTAACGATGATCTCCCTTCACCTGGAAGGCCAGCCTGGCTCGGACCACATCCAGAGGGTAGGTGCATATCACCGCAGTCATCCCTGAAATACACATCACAAGAAACCATAAGGAAGGAAAACAGAAGAGTCCACTGTGACTGTGTCCCCTCTTTAATGACACTTGGTAACAAGTGGTGACACTCCCATTGTGATGTAGTTTACGAGACTGTTTGTACAAAGGTGAAACATGTAAACCTAGTCTATGATGACAGAAGAACAAATGACAATGACCTGAGAAGACAAAGTTAAAGCCACAATATCTATGCCAGCAGAGTGCCTGACATCCAGCTAGCACTGAATGCAAAGGGAAGTCTTATCAGTACCTGCCATAGATCCTGCCATGAGGCGGTGGATGTGTCCAGAGATTCCAATCTGTTTACTTAGCAGCTGTAAAGGGAATATTATCAACATCAGCAGGGAGGAAGGTCAGCGGGTTCGACAATAAAAACAATGCACAGGCAAAAAAAAAAAATATCACAAACTGCAGCAAAAATGATGTTGTTGTTACAGCAAATACATATTGACATAAAAGCAAATCACATTTCCCCCAGCAACTTTCTGTCAACGAGTTCTCAATTTTGTCACTCTGGCTTTTCAAAGTGTTCTTTCACAATGAAGTGCATACTGTACCTTTTTGTATTTGTCAAAGGCCATGAACTGGATGGCTCCATAAGGGAATATCCTGACCATCATTGCTCCATTACCCTTGTACAAGCCCAGGATGCCTTCTTTCTGTGGCACAGCTCTGAGGGTGGAAAACACCCCTGTAAAAAAAAAAAGTGGAGAAGTTTCACTCCTGCGGTACAGATGTGTGAAAGCAAACACTTTCCATGCTTGGCTGCAGATGTTTTACCCAGATGTTTGTAATGGGGGCTCTGGGCTTGAAGAAGAATCTTGACTCTGTCCAGAGGAGCGATGGTAGTCTTGGCACAGCATCCTGCTACACCTAAACAAAAATAGACAAACAACACATTTATTATTAAATGTGCAACTTATCATACGGCTGAATGATTGGTTATTATTGTAACTTCAATGAATCAACCAGGGAAAAAGGCCCACCATTTGTAAACAGCCTTGGACTTTAAGACCGGTCACTGTGGATAAAATCTGAGGCATGCGACTGCAATACATGTGACTGCATGGGCAGTTGAGCTTCTGTGTTGACATTCATTGGCTGCGGCAAAGAGTTCAAAACAAGACACAGCAGGCTCCCCAGAGGATCACAGTGGAAGGCCTGCATTTTTGAAACTACTACATTTTATTTTGTTACCCAGAATCCTCAGCAAGCATTTTGGACAGAATATACAGCTGGGTCAGCCTGTACTGAGAGTAAAGTGCAGCTGTGGCAAAAGCGGTTTGATTCCCAGCCCCTCTCAATGCTAAACCCCAAGTTGCTCCTGATGGCAGGTAAACACCTTGCATGATACCAAGTTGGTGCTATATAAATGCAAATCATTCACTTGACACAGCTAAAAGAAACACTTTATTCATGTATCTTTGGTAGAACTGCCAAAGAAACAAGCCTGTTCATTGTCGTCACAAAAGAGTCTCAAAGTAGCAAGCAGCCAGATACGATGGGAACACTGAGGAATAACTGCAAATGATACTGTGTGATATTAGTGCAATGTTTGAAACAAATTCTTTACAAATCAAAATATGTTTAAATCCAACTTGTGTATGCTTGACATTAATGATCTGATTTACAATATTAATCAAATCTGAATTGTTAGTCATGTAGGTTTTACTATTGTGCTGAAAGTACAGCAGAATGCTTTAAGGCGAAAGTGATAAAGTATGTGAATAATTATAAATTTAGCAACAGAGTGCTCACATGTTCTACAGAAAAAGTACTGCTGTTTTGTTGGTGTGTTTACAGAGTTGTTGGAGTCTGTGAGGTCACTTCATGATCACCGATCAGTATTTTTTTTCTCTTTTTTTTCATGTCACGTGTAATTATTGGCCTATGAAGGCAAAGTCTATCTTTGTTTGCAGAAGAAAGCTAAATTCTTGCAAGCAAATAACCCCAGAAAACAATTAGTTGTTGTTGCTGAAGGGTTTTTATGTTGCTTTAAGCACCACTGAATGTCCCGAAAGGGTATGTTTATTGTTTCTTTTTTAAATACCTTCAATAAAGGAGCCTTACTTCCTGGTTCACAAAAGACAGACGTTAAGCAAAGAACAAAATGTTTCTGTGGAGATACCTGTGAGAGGCGTGATCCTGTGTCCTATTGTAAAATTCTACTCGAGCAAATCATGACAGATGTACAACTGATTAGTAAGTTGACGTGTCAGATTATTACCTCCAGCTACAAAGGAGCGAACCCAGTAGTAGTCCCTCTTGGCAGGAGCGCTGCTCATGCTGGGAGAAGTGGAGACCGCAGCCTCCGATGTCATTCTCTCTGCTCAGGAATCTGCCACATCCATGGCTGCAGGGTTTGGTAAAAACACTGTAAACACACTTGACCATGAACATGCAGGTATTGGTTTAGGACGACACAAAATGCAGAATTCCAAAAAAGAAAAATCTCTATGAGCAAAGCAGACTATTGTGAATGACACACCAACCTACGCTTAATAGTACAAACGATCTGCACTTGGTCATACATTAGATCAACTGCTAAGGTTAGTAGCCACAAATCAGGATTGAATTATCCAAGGAAAATATCTAATTGTGTAACTAACACATATGGTTTTGTGCCTTTTGAAGCTTTAGTTTAATATTTATTGTGCATTTCATTTCAGCCATATGATGGATCATTACCTAATGAATGAAATATCAAAATATTAATGAGAACAAGAATGAGAACCTAATGATATAAACTGCCCAAAAAATATATTTTTTACATTCTAAAATTACATACCTGACAGAACAATCATCACAAAAGACGGGGCTGTGTTAAGTTAAATAAATAAAGTAACAATAATAATGAACAAACTAATGCCAATAAGAAAGTAGTAGGACTTTACACTAAAAAATCTCTGACATTGAAACATATAGGTCATTCATGGCTTAGATGCAGCATCTTCACATTTTGAAATAAAGTCTCTTAAGAGTCTACAAAAAAAAACAAAAACGTGTTTGTTAATTAATAGTCCTAAATAATAGGACCAGTGTAAGACACGCTTCATAATGTATATTCTTAAGTGCAGCCGTCAGAATTTGCTAACTGCCATGTTTCAAACTGCGTCTTCGATTTAATATCTATTAACTCTTCAGCCTTTGTTGAATGTTAAATAGTAATACTCACAAAATAATCTGAAGTGCTACAGGGGCAGCACCAGCAGGAAAGTGGATAGTTGGTCTGATGAAATCTGTTCAACAAATCTGCTGCTCCTTCGTTGAGTTGCCTCCTTCTGTCGTTTTCCTCATTCCTCGGTTTAATCCAGCCTGTTGACAACAATGTAGCGTTATAGTCGACACCGGCTCATAATGTACCCAGACGTGTTACTGTTTCCGCCGAAAATCTGATTAAAAGGGGCAGTTATGAGGCAACCTGAGGCACTTGGAAGGGTAACAACATTCGTGTCCTTCGCCCGCAGACGACTGACGGCTGCTCGCCAAAAACAGTCGCACGATGATGACGCAGATGACGCGTGTGAAAGGAGGAAGTAGGAGGGAAGGCTGATAATGGGCTGAATAGATTTATGGCTTAGCTGTATGTTATCTGTAGATTTATGACACCGAAACAGAACATTAAATGGTGTTTTTTTGCGAATAACGCACAAATGTAATATAGATATATTTTAACTCTCAGCTCAATTCACAACCCCTTAGAAACACAGCACACTTACTAACCCAGCAAACAGTAGCCTTGAGGGTTGGGTTAAAAAAAAGTTTTAAAAAAATAAATACATTTTTTAAAAAAGCAACCGTAGACCGTCTAGAAAGTCTAGTTTTTTGTAACCTTCAGGTAACACTGTGGGAACTTCTTTACAAGAGAGTAGCCTATCAGCCCTAAAGTCTCTGTGAATGTTCGTAAGTATGACCTTGTTAATTGTTCCCAAAAGGTTTCTTGAAGGTTTAACAAAATCACCTTCAGAGAACCTTCAGTGAATGTTTGGTAACCTAGCAGCTTTAGGCATTCTGAAGATCTGCAGAATGCTATCTTGTAAATTCCTCGAGGGCACCTTCAGGGAAAGTTCAGGATCTGCTCCCAGAACATTGCTCAAATGTTATTTTAACAGAACCTTCAGACAATGTTCTGGAGACCTTTTTAACAAAAACAAAAAAAAAAAAAGAAAGCAACCTAACAGCCTTAAATGTTCTGGGAAAGTTTGTATGTATGACTTTGAATGTTCCTAAAATTTTCACAAATTCCCCTAAAGAGAGCCTCCAGGGAATGTGCAGTAACCCAACAGATGTTCTGGGAACATCTAGGGAATCTTTAGTGAACATTCCCAGAACGTCTAAGGCTATTTGTTTACTTAAAAAAAAAAAAAAAGATTATTACTTTATTTAACTTGATTCCAGATTGTGCAGATTTTGCTCTTGAGCCATGAATAAACAACCTGTTTCAATGTTAGTGACCATATACATTACTTCCATATTGGCATTGGTTCCTTTTGTGAATAAAAATGATAAAATTGCCAATAACCTAAAGCATTTCATGCTAGTGTTAGGATATATATATCATTCAGGGAATGTCCCTGGTGCTCTCAGCAGTGCATTTCCTGAATTTTATTTTTGTAGAACGTAACAGCCTGAGACTTTCTTAGAATATCCCCTAAAGGTTCCCTGAAGGTTCCCTGTTATTTTGTAGAAGCTGGAGGGAACATTCTGGGAATCTAATGTACATAAAAGCAACCTAACAGCCTTAGATGTTCTGGGAACATTTGTACATACAACTTTGTTAATTGTTTCTAAAACATTCACTAAAGGTTTAACAAAATAACTTTTGAAGAACCTTCAAGGAAAGTTCAGTAACAGCTTCTCTGAATGTTATTTGTAGAACCTTTAGAGAGTATTCTGGGAACGCAACCCGAGGGTCTTAGATGTTCTGGAAATGTTTGTATGTATGACTTTGACTAAGTATTGTACATTCTGCAATCAAGTTAAAAAAAAAAGTAGTAATCAGTTTTAAAAGTAACTTTACAGCCTGAGGGGTTCTTGGAATGTTCCCTGAAGGATCCCTGAATGTTACTTTGTGAAACCTCCTGTGACTGTTTCCTGAAGGAAAGAAAAGTTCAGGGACAGACTTCTCCCTGAATGTTATTACTGGAGAACCTTTAGGGTGCCTTCAGGGAAAATTCTGGAGAAAAAAAAAAAACAGTCGCACCTATGGCAAAAACTGCAGGTGCTTGATAATGTGCAATAAGTGATTTATTATCCTTTACCACCTCTGTCTTTATCAGTTCTTACACCCTCCTGCCACCTCTGGCACTGCTGGGACAGACAGCGGCTGAACTCCACTCCGGGTTTTCCCGTCCTCCCTCCCCTCCAGAGCCGACGACGAGTTTTTGGCCAGCGGAGACCGTAGGTTGCGTCTGGTGGAGGGAGAGTGAGCGGGGCTGCCCTGAATGGATTGACATAAGAGGGATTTACATTTTAACGGGTGTCGTGCTCCGTAAAGACGACACGGTGCACGGTGAAAAGCTGCTATCCGGCCCGGTGTCCGCTCCACGCCGTCGGTGCTTGTACCATGTCCATGTGTCACCGTCGTGAGAGGATTGAACTTAGCAGCGGTCTATATTTGCCGAGGAGGGAAACCAATAGAAGGTCTCGCTGTCTCGCTGGAGCGGAGTATTATTAGCAGTTCAGACAGTGCAACTGTCTCTCTGTGGTATGTAAAGCATTTCAGCCGTAAATGTGTAAATAAAAACCACCGCTGGCAGCAAAACAATTTGTACAAAAGTGCGCTTTGCGGCCGCGTTGAGCCTCGTACGGCGCTCGGTGATTTAAATGACAGCGGTCAAGTGCAAAATAATAATAAACGGCGACGGTGAAGGCGGATTTTTTTTTTTTTTTTTTTTTTTTTTACACGGTAATAACCCTCTCTTCCGCCAGTCAGAGACGAAAACAGGATCCGACCTCCGGCCAGAGCCCTGTCCTCTCAACGCGCCTGCCCTTTAAACTGTTAAAGCCACTCCGGGAGCTTTAGTATTTGTTTTTATAATGTTCCTCTGACGTTATTACACCTTTACTCCACATATTTTTACTGTTTAAGTGTGCCCTATTATATTTTTATTGTCGTAACAGCACTTGCTCGTCCGAGTAGATGTTTCAGGCGTGTCATTTTTGGCAGACGAAGTAAAGAAAATGTCTTTTTTATTTCTCTTTATTGCTGCTATACTATCATATTGTAAGCCTTTAGATTGCACCTGATGTTTTCTGTGCCTTTGTACTGCTAACGATTTGTCATTCAAATTGTATTTAAATGTGCTGAAACTATTTGTATTTTAAAGAAAAAAAATTCTCCCTCTGTTTTTCTAGGTCATGCACTGAAATTACACAATACCAACAGCACTATAAGTCACAGTTCAATGGTAAAACACAAAAGAGGAAGGTTGTAAAAAGAAACTAAAAATAAATAATTGTGTGCCAAGCAAAAAGATAAACATTCACCTGGCTCCCATGCCGGCTGTCAGAAATCCTCCCCTCCACACCCTCAGCCATGCCTGCTACTACCAAACCCGCCAGGAGACAGACGCCCGCTCAGAGGAAGAACGGCCAGAAAGTGATCAGCACCAAGAGGCAGACCTGCAATTCAAATAAACCCAGAGGAAGAGCCGCAGAGAGGCCCCGGAAAGCACCTGCAGAAGCCAAAAGGTCAACAACCAGGGCCCAGGCGCAGTCAGGGCGAAGCCCTCGTGGAAGAGGGGCTGGTCAGGGTCCAGGGAGGTCCCCTGGCAGAGCTAACCATGCCCTGCAAGTAACAGGATCTGCAAGACTTAGACGCTCCAGCAATCTGCCTGACCACTGTGGCAACTTACAAGACCCCCTCGGGCGGAGGAAGTCCCAGCGGGGCGCGCAGGTGTCGCTTACTCCCTGCCAGCCTCCTGAACCTTGCAGAGGTGGGAAAAGCAGCAGGGGGAGGAGAGCGGCGCCCCAGCATGGAAACACAAGAAACCAGCCCTCGAACACCAGCATCAAAGATTCAGCTCTTGGTGAGGAAAACGAGAAACTGGATGATGATGATGACGATAATGAAGAAATCCCTCCAGTTTCTCTAAAAACTGACACTGAAGTTCCTCCAAGTGTCAAAGACCAGGCCGGTAGAGTTAATGACGCTAAAGAGGGCAGCCCTCTTGAAGCTGATTCACCACCACGTAATGACACACTGGAGGACTGTGTGCAGCGCAGCGATGACAGTCCTACAACCCAGCAAGACAAAAAGACTGTCAGCCACAACGGTGAAGGTGACCTGAAGTGTGTCATTGGGGCCCCAGTGTGTGGTGATGTTGACAGACAGCTAAAACTCTGCAGCGACATGAGTGAAGATCAGCCCTCTGAGTCCTCAGAGTTAACAAGCACTGGCTCATCAGGAGTGCAGAGCAGCCACGAGGGAAATGACACTTCATCTATCCCTGGAAATAAGCTTGATCATCTTGCCAGCGATGGGAAGCAAGATGATGTGTGCACTGTCGAACAAGAGGAAGCTAGCGCCTTAGATTTGACAGAGAATAGGATGGATGAAAGTGTCGTCAGTGAGAGAAAAGAGGAGGTAAATGTTGAGGGAGGAGAAATTTTGGACGCAGAGACGACCGTTGAGAGACAAAATGAGACTGTGGAAGAGACGGAGGAGATTTCTGAGAGGCTGGGTGATTGTGAGAGTGAAGACAGAGGCAATAAAGAACGGGAGAGTGAGGTTTCCACCAATTCTGCTGACTCCCAAACCAGCACTCCAGCCTGTCGAAGCCCAGATCCACCTCATTGTAACAAGGGACTGACAGCACCGTCAGAATCACCTGATCGTGTGCTACTGGTCTCCAACACAGCTACCTCAAATCCCACCAAAGCCCCCTCCACCTCAGAGTCACTTGATCTAGAGGTTCTGAGCCAGGGTAAGACAGATATTCAGCCTACCATTCATGGTGCTAAACCTCAGTTTCCAGGGTCTTCAGCGTCAGTCCCTGAAACTACCCTGATGGTGCGGACTGTTGTAGTGAAAAGAAACATGCCGGTTATTATCCGGAGAGACTCCCTCACACCTACGAGCTTGAGGGATTCAAACCAAGGGGAACCACAACAACTTCAAAGCCTACAGATCCAGTCTCCTCAGGGAGAAAGACAAGCTTGCACACCAGCAGAGACGCAGACCAAAGATAGTGAATTCAGTCAGGAGAAGCTGGAGCAAAACACCCAGAAAGCGACATCTTTGCTGTCCTTGTCACTAGTTAGTCAGTCCAGCGCAGACGCCCCTGCAGCCGAACCAAACCTCAGCGAGGACAGCGTTCAGGTCGCAGCGCCGGAGCAGGACTCGGTGCCAAAGATCTCGACTCCTTCTCTGGACAGTAGCTCCACCTTCTCCTGCAGCTCAGAAAGCACTCGCTCCTCTTTTTCATTTGACACTGAATCAGAGGCAGGATATGGAGAGCCCAGCCCGTCTGTTCTGCCCGGATCCTGGGGGCCAGATGGGGCCGGCTCGCTCTTCTGGACTGCTCCAAAACCACAGAAGAAGGAGAAGAAGAAGCGGAGCAGGTGCGGGACGTGCGAGCCGTGCCTCAGGAAGATCAGCTGTGGCCAGTGCAGCTGCTGCCTCAACCGCAGGACCGGCCACCAGATCTGTAAGCTGAGGAAGTGCGTGGAGCTGAAGAGGAGAAGATTTTCATCTCCGCTCGCTCACTCTGCTGCACAGGTGAGGCTTATATTACCGTGCATTACTGCATTTTAATTGTATTTAATAGCACACAGCGGCTTTTATTGCAGCCAGATTGTCAATTAATCCCCTCTAAGGAGGCACATTTAGATCATGACTTGATTTGGAACGTAACAAAACTTATTTGTGCACACAAGCAGCTGATTTGAAGCAGCTGAAACGAGAGCGGTTGTTACTGTCTGACAGCACCGCTTTTGATCTCGGAGGTTTCCCATCCGCCCACTAGTAACAGCAGTGATCGAGAGATGACTGAGCCAGACAGTTGAAACAGAAGGTTTCACTTTCTTATTGTAATTTTTTTCCGCTGGCTTCAACACGTGCTCTACACTGAACTCTATAGTGTCTTCCTGGTAAAAGAAGAGGAATGCACCGAGTGAAAGGGGAAGTACTGGTGTGTGTGTGTGTGTGTGTGCAAAGACAGAATAGATATTTGATTTGATGATGCCCTGTGTTAGAGGGGAAAGCACTGTCACATGACTGGCAGCAGCTCAGCACGTGGTTGGAGCATATCTGTTTTGTCTGTGTGTGTGTGTGTGTGTGTGTTTGTGTGTTCTTGTGTTTGTGCCATCCATGGTGCAATCAGGAGAATAACTGTTTTATGAACTGCACATGCTGCCTGTGTCTATGTGCATACTTGTGTGAGCGGATGGTTCGGTAATTACAGCCTGTTTGAGCCAGATGTTTTTGCACCGTGGCACTGAATGCCATTGTGAATGCATATTTTAGGAGAGAGCCCAGAAAGACAATGACACCCAAGTGCCTTGCTCCGCTACAAGTGACTTTTTTCACATTGTTGTTCAATGCAGAGTACTGTGCAAAGGCACAAAAACTGAAGTGAGGCTGCTTCCACCAATAGTTAATTATTAATTTTGTACAGTAAACAGAAACGAAACTAAAATAAATCGGTTTACATACATCAACAGCGGTTCTAGTTTGGATTTAGGCTGCCCCATTTGCTTTTGTCTCTTCATGTAATCCCAGATCGACTCAATGATGTTGAGATCAGGGCTCTGTGGGGGCTATACCATCTGTTGCAGGACTTCTTGGTATCAGCTGGGACAGTGGGACTGGTTTTGTCTGTGTGTCATCATGGCAAATGGACTCCTGGATGGGGCTGAACTATTACTCAATTTTAAATCAGTATTGCAATTTGAAACAATGCTATTAGCAAATTGCAAAAGCTGCAGTTCAGAATATACATTATGCAGTGTGTCTGACCCTGGGTTTAAGCTGTCGTGTCAGTGGTTTTACAAATTTATGCCGTCCTCCTTCTGTGAAGGTCATGCTTTTGCTTGCATTTCATGTGCTAATGCTTCATCACTGTTTAAATCTATTACACAGTGATTATTGAGCTTTTAAAAGCGTGAAAAATTCAAATATCTGTTAGAAAAATCGCAATTTGATATTTTCCCCAAGTTGTTCGACTCAAGTCATGGATGCATCTGTGGCTAATGTGATAGTTCTTTATGACCCTATCATATGTTTACAGTTGTTGTTGTTATTATGCTGCATAATTCACTTGAAATCAGTCTGAGACCAGATGTATTGCATGGAATAGAATTAAGAATCTAAATGTCTGAAGTACAAATACTTCTGCACAGTGCTGTTTTTCCACACAGAGCAATGAGAGAGCAAAGATTGTCATTACATTTAAATTACATTAATAGTAAGAAACACATCTTAAAGTGGATAATAATGTTCTCCATAAGTGCTGGATGTGTAAATACGCAACTGCTTGCTAAGAAGTTTAAGCTAAAAGATGATGACATGTCGCTGTTGTGTTCACAAATTGTTTCTGTTGCCTCCCAGTGGCCAAAAAAAAATTCTGCCTTTACAAGTTTAGAAGCGTTTACTTTGTGTTTCCGTACTTTTTACTAAAGGTTTGCTAGTCAAAGTAGTGTGTATCCAGGGAAATTAGACGAGTGTCACTCAACTCTGCAGCTCTACTATGCCTTTGAGCTTCTTCAATATTTTTGCGTTCTTACATTTAAACTATATAGCTAAGTTTTAGTGCTTTCGTCCACCACGTGTCTCAGTCGCAGCAGGAAGCTGTTCTCAGCCAACAATCTCTAATAAGCCAAATATACATAACCCAACAACAACTACACATAAAGTCAACACAAAGTGGCAAACATACAAACTCAGTCACCAGTGGCCTGGTTCATAATGCGTGAAAAGTGGGAATTAAAGTCCAACACTTCATTTGAATGAACCTAACAGATTAGTCGGGGCTAAAGCGGTTCCGTAAAGGTAAATTCAAGTTGACGTCATGAGACTAAGTCATTACAGGTTCAAAAGGTCGTGTGTTTACGTTGGGCCAAGCGTGAATCAAATCGATCCAAAAACAGCAGTGGTACAGTTGGTGCATAAATGTTTATGACCACTGAAATGCACTTATTATTAAAAACAGATGAAGAATTTAAACATCTAATAACTAAAGAAAGGAAGTCCAGTGGCTATAAGCAGAACCAGAGGGAAAAGCTGACAAGAAGTTGCTGATCGATTGAATGCAAGAAGAAAGCAAGTTCAAATGTAATAAAAATGTTTTGATCGAACCTGATTAAGTCCAGACAGCTTAAAGGGGAGTCGTGGGGAGCTTGGCCACTCTTAATAGAACATGAGCTCCCCTGGAAAGATGATTGAGGAATTTTTGGGGGTTATCTAAAATATTAACTGCGTGTGCTAGTTTTGTGATGCATTTCTATTTTTCTGTATCTTTATTATCATGAATCATGTGTAAAACAAGGCTAAGTATGTCTGTTGATTTTGATCACAAAAAAGGGGAAACGTGATCGCCCCTGAAAATACAGTAGATTTTGCTCACTAATTAGCCTAAATACATTCAGTCACAACACATTTAAACAGTCAGTAAGTACATACTCTGTAGGTCAAGGCTACAAATGTACTGATATACGTTCTGCGTAGCTTCCGTGGCTGCACTGAAAGGATATGCAAAAGGCTGACACATTCATTTAGATCCTTATTTACAGAAAAGTTTGCTTTTGTTACATTATTTTAAATGTCTTAGCTGTCTTCTCAGCATAAGTGTCCAGAGTAACTTACAGTCATTCGAGCCAAATTAAACAAACCTGAGTAACCAGAGTAACTTACAGTCATTTGAGCCAAATTAAACAAACCTGACTTATTTTGTAAACTTGCATAACGGAACTCACCTGAGCTGTTGAAGAAAATCCAACATCTGGTTAACTAAAGACACATATTTATGTCAGAAGTTGGTTTAGACCAAAGCAGAACTATCAGCTTAGGAGACACAACACTTGAATTTGTCCAGTGTCCAAAAATCTACTATAATATTTCTGTGTCTATACAACAGTTTTGCACTGTTAAGACTTTATACGGGAATATTTTGTCAGGGGTGTGTACTCATTAGTTTGTTATGGAGATATTTTATTATATTGACCAAAGATTTGTGGTCATCAATGCAGATTTAAAATATTTAGTTGCATGAAACTTGCATGGCGGTAGTATTAAAAGTATTCAGAAAATGTTCTATTTAAATGGCACATAGCACCTGTGCTTCATCCCTCACATGCTTCTGAAGGGACAGCACACTAAGCGGACACATTCTCATTTGGGTGAGTGGGAATAATTTCCTTTCAGCAGCTGACTACTGGAGCTACTACATAACCGTGTTCATAGTTCAGTGGTGTCCATGTGGCTGGGGGAGGTGTGTGTGTGTGTGAACAACTGTGTGTGAGGGTTCATGTTGAGTCTATTGTGTGCAGGCGTGCGTACATGCACCGGCAGAGCCTCCAGAGTCGTAGCAGTGGCAGTAGCAGATTAGGGCTGATTATATAACACCTGCAGTATTAGATGTGAAGACCTATGTGCACTATTTCTGAGTGTAAGAGGGGGCGAGGAGGGAAAGATCAGGCCAGGCCAGGCAGAGATTTACAACCATATTATTTGGATTACTCTGAATTGTGGGTCATTGTGTGTGTGTGTGTGTGTAGGACTGACTCAGTGACACACTTGCAGTATATGTGGTTGTGACTCTGACATTACATAGTACACCACCACTGTGCAAAGTGACACAGAAGTGCTGATCCACTGTCATTCAAGCAACAGATCCAGTTGTTGTTTCGCCGTATCACTCTAACTGACATCACTTTGGCCTGCACTTGAAAACAGGTTTTTCTCTGATTCTGTATAACTGCAGGGGTGGAGCCTGCATCAAGTGCTGTAAGCTAGCACTGTCAGGACTGTTGTCATCATGATGAGCTGTAGGTCAAATCCAAACTCCACTTTTCAGTTCATTCTAGAAAAGAACAGGTAGAGCAAGGTTATCTTACATCTTGTATGATCACCCACTGCGAGAGCGTGTGGGTGTTCTTTATGTGTACTCATAGTGTGAGTAACATGCTTGCTGGCCAGTCTGGCTGATCAAGCTCACACACCCTTTCAACGAATGTTTTTAACTCTACAAGGCTGTGAAAAAAGGGTGCAGAGGCCAAAGAGGAGTTCATGTAGTGGCATGTGGATTCTGTTCCTGGTTTTACCATAGCGAGCTGCAGTGGCTGGCGTGGCTGTGGTTTGGTTGTGATTTATTGTGTCATAAAACATGAAATACATGCAAAACATACTTGCAAAGATACACGCTAAATGCAGTTCAGGACACAGATTAAACCGTGTAAGGGATTTGTAATATGAAGATAAAATCCCAAAATAGAAGATCTTTGAGCTCCTGTGGCTTTTATGTTTTGAAGAAACAGAATGAGAGCAGAGCTTTCCTTTTACAAATATCTGTTTTCACTCAGATTTGATGGCCCCCTCGTGGCCTTGCCTTGTATTGGGCAGCGAGGACAAAGCTGAGACCTGGCCCATAACACAGACCTGCATGCCAATACACACTCACCAGAAATGAAACGCTACAGTTCACAGAGTGCAAAAGCTCCTGTATTTGTCGAGTGTATTTGACCGAAACAGTCCTGACATGTTTAGAGCTGTAGGCTGCATAA